GTTGGTGGAATGAATGAACCGAGGAGCCCCTGCTGAGCCCAGTTCGCCAGCTGCTTCCCATCGTCCCTGAGCTCACTGGGCAAAGAAATGAGAACAGCTCCAGCCCAGGGGACTCACCAGCTCATTTTAAAGCAGTGTTCATGTTATGGTTTAAAGTGAGGGTTTATGGTTATTCTTGAACAGGTACTACGTTCGCATGGTTCCAAGTTCAAAAGGGGCTTGCGACAGTGTCCCTCCTGCTCTCTCACCCACCCAGTTCCTTCTGGAGGCGGTCAGTGGTATCCGTTTCTTCTGTGTCTTTCCATATAAATGTAACGCCCGACCAAGCAAACATGTATGCATGTCCTCCCCTCCTTCTTAGTTTTATGTAAGTGGCGGCATATGCTACATAGCATCCATTTCTTGCTGTTTGCATTTCCTAGTACAGCTTGGAGAGAAGTTCGTCCTGGCAGCTTGTGAAAAGCATCCTTATCCTTTTTTATGGCCGCACGGTCCTCCCAGCAGAGCGGCACCGTGATGGGTAGACACATTTGTTTTCAGTCTTTGGCCCTGACACACAACGTGGTGATGTGTAACCAGTGTGTAACAGCGCAGGGTACATAAGTTGGGTCCTGAGTGAACTCGGCTCGGTCAGCCAGGCTTGTTAAATTCGGGACTAAAAGTAGAACTATCCTTCCTTGGAAGCGTTAAGCATGCAACATAACTGTCGGGGGTGGCTTTACTTAGGGGGCTCTTGGACACAGCGGGTTGGCCAGGAAGACCCAAAAGCCCCTTCTGTTTGGGCTGAAAGGGGCAAATATTAAGCAGGCAGGAGGCGCTCAGCCTGTGTATGCTCCCACCCACACCGCCAGAGGTGGGCTGGAGGGAGGGGATGGTCGGACTGGGGAGGGGCTGCTGAGGGTTGGGCTCTGGCTTCTGGAGCCAAACCGTCTGGGACCTCTGTCCCCCTTGACCTCAGACAGCCCTGCCTTGTGCAGGGTTCTGAGCGCTGTCGGGGAGGAGCACTCTCAACCTGGAGACCCCTCTGGGCATGGAAGGGACTTGGAGGGATCTAGAGTGGGCCTTGCTCCTCTCCAGGGCGCTTCCTGTTCACCACTGAATCCCCAGCACCCACAAAAGAGTCCTGGACATAGTAGATGCTCAATAAATTCTTGGGGTGCAAATGACTACATGACCCCCATACCCCTCAAAAAGATACCCCAGTGGGCTTCCATCGGGCTCTCCAACCAAACCAAGGGCTCTGTGACCACGAGGCAAGTTTTCCTAGACTCCCACAGCTCCCTGCATGCTTGCTCAGTGTAGACTGTCCCCCTCGGCTCCTCAGGAAATTTCCTTCATCACTCAGGTAACCAGGTCCCGTGGTCAATTTAGGTCACGGTGGCGGTTGCTATGGTATGCCACCTGACCCCTTTCAGGACACAGGCACTTATCCCCCAGCTGCTGCTGGCCCCCCTCCTGGAACTGTCCACACTGCCAGTTCCCACGGCTGTGTCCCTTCCTTGGGGGCAGTTTCCTCCAGTGTGGCGGGGGGAAAGGGCAGGTTGCTTGTCTTAATTCAGGACAACTCCAAGGGCCTATCCCAGCAGCAGGGCATCCCATGGGTTACCCAAAACCTTTGTAGCCCCCACATCCCTGCACATTGTCTCCCGCTGCCCCCCCACCACACTCCCTCCCCAATGTGGTTCCCTATCCACCGCCTCCGGGTTCCCACCCACCACCTGCGGGCACCTCTCCCCCTCCAAATCTGTTTCTGGGAAGCAGACATGAAACAGTTACCAGACAATTTCAATTCAGAGGTTCAAAAGTCAAACTCCACACAAAAGAAAACCTCCAACTTGGTTTTATAAAACTGTATCTGCCCCCCCCACAAAAGAAATGTTAATGATGTGGCATGCTATCCCATTACCGTATTCAAGTGTATCAGCTCAACACTGTGCAACTTAACCTTATACAGTGTTATGTGTCCATTATATCTCAGTCTTTACTGATGGATTGATTTAAAGATTATTTATTTTATGGGATGCCTGGGTGGCTCAGTCCGTTAAGCGACTGCCTTTGGCTCAGGTCTGGGATCGAGCCCCGCATTGGGCTCCTTGCTCAGCGGGGACTCTGCTTCTCCCCCTACTTGTGCTCTCTCTCTCAGACAAATAAATAAAATCTTTTTAAAAATTTTTAAAAAAAGATTATTTATTTTAAAGAGAGAGCAGGGGGAGGGGTAGAGGGCGAGAGAGTCCCAAGCAGACTCCGCTCTGAGCCTGACGCAGGGTCCGATCTCATGACCCCGAGACCACAACCTGAGCCGAAACTAAGAGTTGGCACTCAACCGACTACGCCACCCAGGTGCCCCTATATCTCAGTTTTTAGAAAGTTAACTCTTGTCCCTTTCCCATTAAGGTTTAATGCAGGTGCAACGCTTCAAGCTGTGGAAAAGGGGTGCAGGGATTCTCTCTGCCTCTTCTGCCTGCCGCAGCTGGACACCGTGGTTCTTAACTGTGGGAGGTGGACTAACGGCCCCCCAAAAATGTCAGGTCCCAATCCTGGAACCTGTGTCATCTCCCACAGGAAGTCTTTGCACAGGTGACCACGACTCTTTGAGATGGGGAGATTATCCCGGCTTTTCTGAGTGGACCCTAGAAGCAGTGACGAGTGTCTTTATAAGAGAAGCACAGGGAGATTCGCCACACACAGAAAAGAAGGCAAGGTGACCACAGCGGGTCCTGGAGGCATGCCGGCGGCCACCAGGAGCTGGAAGAGATGAGGAACGGACTCCTCCCAGAGCCGCCGGACGGGACACAGCCCTGCCCGCCCCTTGATTGTAGCGCCGCCTGAAGCTGATTTCGGACTTCTGGCCTCCAGAACGGAGAGAATAAATTTCGGTTGTTTTAAGACACTCAGTTTGTGGGGCGCCTGGGTGGCTCAGTCGTTAAGCATCTGCCTTCGGCTCAGGTCATGATCCCGGGGTCCTGGGATCGAGCCCTGCATCGGGCTCCCTGCTTGGCAGGAAGCCTGCTTCTCCCTCTCCCACTCCCCCTGCTTG